GATTTTATCAGAGCTGCATGCCGCCCACCTTCTCAGACTCCGCCTTCAACCGCGAGCTCCAGATCTCAGTGGGCACTGGGAACTGCCGGACCTCAACCGCGAGCTCCAGATCTCAGTGGGCACTGCCGGACCTCAACCGCGAGCGCCAGATCTCAGCGGGCATTGCCGGACCTCAACCGCGAGCTCCACATCTCAGTGGGCACTGCCGGACCTTAACCGCGAGCGCCAGGACCTCAACGGCGAGGGACGACCACTAGCTTGTACACGTGAGTTTCCCCTCGCTTGTACACGCGACTTTCTCCTCACTTGTGCACGTGAGTTTCCCGCCGGATGGCGACGATCTTACCGCGTAGCAGCAAGTGTGTCGAAAACGCACCAGAAGATCTAACACTGTATGTAGCATGACAGCTTGCTGCGATTGTTCTGCAACATGTTTAAGCATTGATGACTGCTTGGACTTCTGAACTTCCATCCATGAACCTGTTTGAGTGTCGTTGAAGGGAAGATTTTGCAGAGTAGCATCCAGCGTGCCTCCACATGCATGTGAAGATCGAGCACCGTAGCATGACGGCTTTCTGCAAGTTTTTTCAAGTGATCATTGACTACTGCTTGGACTTCTGAACTTCCACCGGTCAGGAGTAGACCATTTGCCCCATCAATTGCTTAGGCTTAGATGTTTCTTAACTGAGGTATATCCCAATACATCCCAGTCATCACGGGGGAAGATTGACAAACATGATTTAGCATGCTGATCATTGCTTTGTAGGGCACAGGGGGGGAAGATTTCAATGATTTAACATGTAGCCCATTGCTTTGTAGGGCAGACGCGGGGAAGATTAGAATAGTGACTTAGCATGTAGCCCATTGCTTTGTAGGCCAGAGGGGGCGAAGATTCAAAAAAAAACATGATTTAGCAGGCTGATCATTGCTGTGTAGAGGAGATGGGGAAGATTGAAATGGTGACTTAGCATGTAGTCCATTGCTTTGTGGGGCAGGGGGGAGGAAGATTTTAAGAATGATTTACCATGCTGATAGGGCAGGGTGGGAAGATTTAAATAATGACTTAGCATGTAGCCCATAGCTTTGTAGGGCAGAGGGGGGAAGGCTGAAATAATGATTTAGCATGTGATCATTGCTTTGTAGGGCAGAGGCGGGGAAGATTTAAATAATGACTTAGCATGTAGCCTATTGCTTTGAAGGGCAGAGTGGGGAAGATTTAAATAATGATTTGGCATGTAGCAATAGCTTTTTCGGTCAGAGGGGGGAAAAAATAATAAAGACTCAGCAAGTAACCCATTGCTTTGTATGGCAGAGGAGAAGATTTAAATAATGACCTAGCATGTAGCCCATTGCTTTGTAGGGCAGCGGGGAAGAAGAATTTGATAATTATTTAGCATGTAGCCCATTGCTTTCCAGGGGTGAGTGGGGGAAAATTTAAATAATGACTTAGCATGCTGATCATTGCTTTGTAGACCAGAGGGGGAGGAGATTGACAAAGTCATTTAGCAGTCTGATGATTGCTTTGTAGGGGAGCTAAATAACGACTTGGCATGTAGCCCTTTTCTATGCAGGGCAGAGGGGGGAAGATTTCAGTAATGATTTGGCATGTTGATCATTGCTTTGTAGGGCAGAGGAGCGGAAGATTTAAACAATGATTTAGCATGCTGATCATTGCTTTGTAGGGCAGAGGGGGTGAAGATTTAAATAACGACTTAGCATGTAGCCCATTGCTTTGTAGGCCAGAAGGGAGGAAAATTTAAACAATGACTTAGCCTGCTGGTCATCGCTTTGTAGGGCAGAGGGTGACAAGATTTAAATAAGTCAGCTGATCAGTGCTTTGTTGGGGAGAGAGCAAAGTATGTGTGCGCAGGTGACGGGAAAGTAGGTGTGCGTGTGCGCAAGTGAGGGGTCTGCCACGGCGAGTGCCAGATGTCATAAAGAACGCCACAAAGAATGCCAGACGGAATGTCGGAATATATATATAGATAATATCAGTTGAATGCCAAACAGATTGCCAGATGGAATGTCAGAACATATATGCCGTAAAGAATGCCAGATAGAATGTCAGAATATATGTCAGATAGAGTGCCAGATATAATGTCAGAATATGTGCCAGATAGAATATCAGTTAGTGGGGATCACTCAAAGAAAACAATTTGTTGTTTTTTGTTGTTGGTGGGTGGTCGTGGCCGTTCTCGTTGTCGTCGTCGTCGTCGTTGTTGTCGTTGTTGCTCTTGTTGTTGTTGTTGTTGCTGCTGGTGGTGGTAGTGGTGGTGGTGGGGGTGTTGGTGAGTCCGGGTGGGCGGATTTGGCAGCAGTCGGCCTAAGTTGTTTTGCTTCTGCTTTCGCAATATCGCTGAACCGATCTATGGCCATTTGGGGCTTGCTCAGGATTGCAGCCGAACCCCTTTTGATTTGGGCATCTCATCCGTCGTTCTGACATGAGACCTGGGGAGCCGGGGTCTCTGGAGAACGACGACGAATGCTTCTCGGATCTCAGCGTTGCTTCTCTATTTGCTTCTTTGCTTTGCAAAAACACCCAGAGCGGTGTGCCTAATTTGGGCATTACAGTTGGGCAAAGACTGCCCTTTGTGATCAATGAATTTGAGCATGCACAAACACCGCCAGGCAAAGGATAGGTGACTTTAGTGGTTGAGAAGTTGGCACTGATACATTCTTGATGAAAACATCAGTGTTGCTACAGCTCCTTTGCCCGTCGCAGTTTTCACAGAAATCTAGTCTTGAATTCTCACCTCGGAAGGAACTACAGATTCGGAGAACTGATCTTGTGGTAAGAGCTGCCCAGGGTTCCAAACCTTCACAAGTGGTATCAATGTTAAAGTTACCTTCCAGAGCGGGCATTTGCCGGGTCCTTTTGTACAATCTGAAAACCCAGCAAGTGAACCCTATAGGCTACAGAGGTGTCTTTTGAATAGAAGCTGAGGACGCCTTTAAAAAGTGGAACTGCTGAAACTATGTGAAACTATGTGAAACTGGTGGAACCATTGTGGAAAGATCCAATGGCTTGATGTCAGCATCTGACAGAATCTGATGCAGGAGACGGACACTCCTGTTCCCAGTCCATCGAGTGCACCGAGTGCACCGAGTCCGGGAGACGTCGGCGAGTCGGGGATGTTCGACAATGCTCCAAGGCCACCAGCCAGGCCGACCGTCCGAATGTTGTGATTACTATGATATATATATATATACATGTATGTATATGTATATGTATATGTATATGTACATGTAAATGTAGATGTAAATGTATATGTATAAGTTTATGTACATGTACATGTAAATGTAAATGTATATGTATATGTATATGTAGATGTATATGTATATGTCCATGTACATGTAAATGTAAATGTAAATGTAAATGTATACGTATATGTATATGTGGATGTAAATGTAAATGTATATGTAAATGTAAATGTATACGTATATTTATATGTACATGTAAATGTAAATGTATATGTATATGAATATGTAGATGTAAATGTATATGTATATGTAGATGTAGATGTACATGTACATGTAAATGTATACGTATATTTATATGTACATGAAAATGTAAATGTATATGTATATGTAGATGTAAATGTACATGTATATGTATATGTAGATGTATGTATATGTATATGTATATGTAGATGTAGATGTATGGATGTTGTCATCACATGTTGTGATTTCTGACATGATGTGTGACATGTTGAGACCCCATTATAGCATAGGCACATGCGCCAAGAATTATGAAATTGTGAGTTCTAATGGAATCAGCCGCACTTCAAATTGCATCTTTTGCGGATTCAGTCTACACCTTTTCTTCCGGCTGCCATAAGCGAAGTGAGAATGTGAGGTTGGCAACAGGTTGAGTTGCTTACGCGGCTAGAGCAACATGCTGAGAGCATCGATAGCTTCTCGAGGCCAGGAGACATCGAACATGATGCTGCACCTGGTCTGGAGGCTTTCGTCGATGTCACACATGGTTTCCACATGTTTCAACATGTTTCATGACAGGTTTCAGTGTCTTGAAACGCCAGAACGCGATCACAGGGTGTAGAGGGAAGATGTCAAGGGTCCTCTGCGTAACCCGACTGACGGCTGATGTGTGACTGCCCTGCAAGGAATTACCAGGTGCAGGTCCAGGACGTTGGCCCCAAACTCAGGTGAATTTACGAAATCGTTCTGAAAATCATGGGATGTAACGGGTGTATATTCGTTTATGTTCGTTTATCTTCGTTGGTTTCTATAAGAACCCCTCAATGGATGTGTGCTTTTGCTATCTCTTGCCGTACTCGTATGACTCGGACACTGGCATTTGAAACCGTGGATTGACAAATGATGTGCTTCTTTGAGGCCGCTGGAAACTGAGTAGCAAACTTGCACACATAAAACCTGAGTAGCAAACTGTTCTTCCACTTCTGAATAATTGAGCTCGCATAAGACCAGGCACACTTGAATACCAGTCTTTCCAAAGCAATGGCAAATCCCGCTCATCCTGCGAACAAAGAACAAACCAAAGGCAACTAAGCACCTTCCATGGCTTGTTTTTCGAAGAGACAACAGTTTTTTCACAGTGTTTTTATCAGGCCAGGTGATTCCAAGATAGAGATGGAGCACAGCCTAAGGCATGGGCGGCTTGGCCTTGGACCTGATGGCATGCCCTTGGCCCCTTGGCCGCCATTGGCCGCCATTGGCCGCCATTGGCCACTAAGCTTTGATCCTTCAGAGACGTCGTCCCAGTCATCCCATGACTTCATCGATGTCCAAGGTGAAACCCACACCTCTTCCAAGTAACAGTGACACCGATGAATTTAAGCGTCAGGTGCCTCTGCGCAAGAAATGGCATCCCATGGCCACGTTCGGTCTGTGTCAAGCAAAACTCGGCATGCTGCACTTGAAATCCCCAACGAAAGCCTGCTATGATGTGAACACATGTGAAATACATTGTGAAACACATCATCGGAACTTATGGCGAGCAGCCCTTGATGCAGGCGCACATGGGCCAGTGCTACAATGCCGCCAAAAGCGTCGCAAAGCTTAGGCAGACACATAGCTTTCCCCACTCCATTGATTTGATTTGAACCATGATGGAACTTGGCTTTGGCTCCATGTTGACATTGCCAAGGATTCCATTCCCTTGGATAGACAAGCACCTGACACCAGGCTGGGCATGCTGTTCCGGGCATTCTGACAGCAGACTCTTGAAAGTTGCAAGAACAATCACTGAAGGAAGTTTTTTTGAAGCCACCGTGATTTTGAAGCACTTTGACCGATGTGGAAGCGAGCTCTAGCAATCTGTGCTGTCCTGGGAGACCAGAGATCTGCAAAATGCGGCACAGAAGTTATCCGTGGGCGACTGATTTTGGACTGATTTTGCAAGGTTGCCCACTTGGCCAGACGCGCGCATTTCGTAATCCCTTGATTTCTGAATACATGACATCCATTGACATCCTAAGGAACGACTTGCAGAGAGCCTCGGTTGTGATCGTGTTTCACAACGAGGTCCGCTCTTTTCGCAATTCTTTATCGAGTTTGTGTTGACTCGATGACCGGGGGAACTTTTGCGAAAAAGCTGGTCTTTCCATGATCAGATTCGCGCGACGTGGTATCTCATTATCTAAATCATAAAGATTCAGAACGCCTTTTCTCATTGCAGCTCTACTTGACGATCCAAACTTTGACATTTGATGGAGTGGCAATTCTGGATTTGCAGAGCATGCTGGACAAAGCTCCCGCAAAGCGGTGGCAGCCAGCTTTTCAACTCGCCACCAATACCTTTCACAGCTTTAAGAGTGCTTTTGTCGTTTGGATCTCATGCAGGTAACAAGCAAGTGAGTGATCATTTTCGTTCCGTTGCCCTATCTTCATCGATATTTTTTGTTTTTTTGGTTCTAAGCCGGGATAACGATCCTTCGCTTGGGAAAGTTGAACTCACTCTTCAACTGTCAGCGTCAGGTGGCCTCCATACTGCTGCGATCAGTGCACTCTGTGAGCAGCTGAGAAGGGCGATGCAGTGGAGCCTTAAGGGTATCCCGGGGATCCGCTGTGGTGTAAGGTCTTGAATCAATCGCCGCAAGGCTTGCTGCTTGATGCCCAGTGATGAGTTACTCACTGGAATCGTCACCGAGAGACCCACCTTGATGCTGAAGCGCACGTTTTCATTCTACAATGCTACCTTTCAAAAGTGTCACAGATGTGTCAGAACCCGGTAGTATCAGGGGCTTTTGGCCCATTTGGTGCTTCATATATTACTGACTTGGTGGCTTGACACTTTTCAATTTGCAAGGCAAGAAATCATCCTGGTAGATGATGCCTCTGTTGCAGACCCAGGTCGTTTCACGCAGGAGGGGATGAGCATGAGACAACTGGCACAATTGAATCTAGGAATGATATTCCTAAGTTGACGAATTTTTTCTTCAACTGGAATGCACTGGAATGCACTGGAATGCACTTGCCACAGGGGCTACAAGCAGCTGATTTGCCCAAAGTATTGCGCTTTGCAAATGTTTAATCAATATTCGGGGCTGATGCCTCAATCAGATACCTAGGAAAGACTCAGAATTGATTGCCTCAGACTGCTGAAACATTTCAACAGGCCCAGACCTTGATTGAATGTAACAGCCTTCGGCATTCCGCCAGCCCTCTGGCTGCGGAGAGCCGAAAGCAGGGGTTGTTGGCGTAGAGGAAGCTGTGGGGCTTGATGAGGATGACTCTGGCTGTGGCTGGCTGGGTGGGTGGCTGGCTAGGTGGCTGGGTAGGTGGTAGGTGGGTGGCTAGGTGGGTGGCTAGATGGTGGCTAGGTGGCTACATGCCTAAGCTCCAGCTAAGCTAAAGATGTATCAGAAGAACATCCACAAAACACGCCGGCGGATTCACCAAAATGTACAGATACGTGTAGGGGCTGCTGCAGTTTCTCAATGGTCTATAGTTGAGATCCTGATTCACTCTGTCCATTGGTTTGTTTTCAAAGATTCAACTTATGGCGGGTGGAAGAAATCCTGCACCACGTTGGCTGGTTGGAACCTTAATGGGATAAACCACCTATCAACTGGTGCAGGATTTCTTCCATCCACAGTATCATGAAAGCCAGCTTGCTAGCTGGAGTTGGATTTGCTTTAGCACTTTAGCAATGAATTGGGGGCAGATAATGTAATGCAATCTAACCTAATGTAATTTAACCTAATGATACCTAATGTAATGTAAACCTAATGTAATCCAATCTAGTCTAGTCTAATCTAATGCAATGTGATGTAATGTAATGCAATGCAAGGTAATGTAATGAGAGAACGGCCACTTGGAGTCTTGCATTTCCATTTCCTCGAGAGGTCTGCATGAAAGCATGACCCGGTCTTGGCGAGGAATGCAAGATTCGCACCTTAAGATTCCCACGCATTTCTTGCTCGATGGATGTATGCACCTAGGTTACCAGATTCTAAGACTGGGTGATTTACTTGTACACGGACAGGAACAAGGAAGGAAGGCTGAGGGAAAGAGGTTCAATCATATGGTTGCAAAGTGGCTCAACCGAAACCGTTCGGTTGGGGCACTTTGTATTTGGCAAGTAGAGTACTTGGAGCATAATGTTGACGCTGGTATGCTACAGGGGGAGGGTTGTGGAATGATTATGGTGCATACGAGCTATATAGAATATCATGATACGCTGCTGTTAACGTGTCAGCACCATCGACTGGTAGTTTTTTTCACTTCAAAAAATGACACTCAAAAGGTCGCGCCATATATTCTTTCAATGCACATCCCTCCTTGCCCGACTAGCTTTCGTTAGTCAGTACTACTCAGTAGTAGTCAGTAGTAGTCAGTAGTAGTCAGTAGTAGTCAGTAGTAGTCAGTAGTAGTCAGTAGTAGTCAGTAGTAGTCAGTAGTAGTCAGTAGTAGTAGTAGTCAGTAGTAGTCAGTAGTAGTAGTAGTCAGTAGTAGTCAGTAGTAGTCAGTAGTAGTCAGTAGTAGTCAGTAGTAGTCAGTAGTAGTCAGTAGTAGTCAGTAGTAGTCAGTAGTAGTAGTAGTCAGTAGTAGTAGTCAGTAGTCAGTAGTCAGTAGTAGTCAGTAGTCAGTAGTCAGTAGTCAGTAGTCAGTAGTCAGTAGTCAGTAGTCAGTAGTCAGTAGTCAGTAGTCAGTAGTCAGTAGTAGTAGTCAGTAGTAGTAGTAGTAGTAGTGGTAGTGGTAGTGGTAGTGGTAGTGGTAGTGGTAGTGGTAGTGGTAGTGGTAGTGGTAGTGGTAGTGGTAGTGGTAGTGGTAGTGGTGGTAGTGGTAGTGGTAGTGGTAGTGGTAGTGGTAGTGGTAGTGGTAGTGGTAGTGGTAGTGGTGGTAGTGGTAGTGGTAGTGGTGGTGGTGGTGGTGGTGGTGGTAGTGGTGGTAGTCGTGGTAGTCGTGGTAGTCGTGGTAGTAGTGGTAGTAGTGGTAGTAGTGGTAGTAGTGGTGGTGGTGGTAGTAGTAGTAGCAGTGGTAGTAGTAGTAGTGGTAGTAGTAGTAGTGGTAGTAGTAGTAGTAGTAGTCGTCGTCGTCGTAGTGGTAGTGCTGGTAGTGGTAGTAGTGGTAGTGCTGGTAGTGGTAGTAGTGGTAGTAGTGGTAGTAGTGGTAGTAGTGGTAGTAGTGGTAGTAGTGGTAGTAGTGGTAGTAGTGGTAGTAGTGGTAGTAGTGGTGGTAGTAGTAGTAGTAGTAGTGGTGGTAGTAGTGGTGGTAGTAGTAGTAGTAGTAGTAGTAGTAGTGGTAGTAGTGGTAGTAGTGGTAGTAGTGGTAGTAGTGGTAGTAGTGGTAGTAGTGGTAGTAGTAGTAGTAGTAGTAGTGGTAGTGGTAGTGGTAGTGGTAGTGGTAGTGGTGGTGGTGGTGGTGGTGCGCCCCACGGTAGTTTGGCTGTTTTCAGCCTTCTCACCCCAATCATCTGAGTGTGTGTGTGTGTGTGCCACCTATTTTTAGACATCATAACTGGATGGACCCATAAAAGTGGTAAACGCGACGCCTCATTTGATGTTTCAGGCATACCAACCAACACTGCAAATATTTGAAGTTCCAAAAGAGTGTTTTTTTTTGAACTGTAGTATCCACACCTCTCCAAATACAAAAAGACCCACTATGCATAGCTGCATTTTTAAGAGGTTATATTTTTTTTTTTAAAAGGTGTTGGAGGGACTTGGGATATGTTCAGATGTGTGCTGTACTCGCAAGCATTAAACTTTGAATCTAACATATTCAGTGTCAGTTTTGAAAGTTCTGGACAGCAGTGTTTCTCCAGGAGCGATGGCTGAAACTACAAAGTCCGCTCGAAGATTATTTGAAGAAGCTGCCAAAGGTATCCATCTGAAATCTTGCTGAGTTGTTTTTCACAGCTATTGTATCGTTTATGCAGGGATGCAGAGATAAACCAATTCCTGGTTACATGGTATTTTGCCACGTTTCTCAATTCCTCCACCCGGACTCGAGAGGTTTTCAGCATGTTTCGCATTTTTGAAGTACCTTTTTCATCCCCCTTCCATGGAATCCATGGAATCCTTTACCCATACAGATTCGACCTCAAGGATGTGCTAAGCTGCGTTTCGGCTATGAACTCTCTCCTGTTGCCTTGATGGCCCTGTTAGGTGCGGCTGGTTCGTTTAGGACAACGCCGTGGTCTGATGCGCTAGACTCAGTGCGCTGAGTGCGCTGAGTGCGGGGCGAGTTGGTGGAAGGCGGTGCTGCGCCGGGGCAACCGGCGCAACCGAAAGACACTGCAGTCTCTCCGAGTCTCTCCCCCCTTCTACTAGTCAATCCATGTCAATCCCCAATACCATGTTGCCATTTGCAGATCGAAAGCCAGATATTCAGAAATAGAGCCCTTTTTTGGGCTTCCTTGCTTCTCATGAATTTCGAAGCTTAGGCTTGCCCGGATGGAAGGGGCATGGCGAGCCCAAGCGGAGGTAGTGGTTTTCTTGGACAGTCACATTGAGGCACAGCAGCTTCAAAGAAAACACGTGCACACACACACAAACGCATCACAAACTCAATCACTAGACTGAAGCTATCTTACGTTTATCAAGGTCTTTGAGGCCAGTGGGTAAGTTTCAGAAGCATTTGAAATTGATCTGTTTGTTCATTCTTAGAAGCTGCCACCCTGCCACCTTGCGAACATTTGGCTCAAGGTAGTGATATAGTGTCTTTCCAAACCTTTCCAGTTGCATCGCTCGAGATGGCCAAGACGCAGGTGGGTCGTTGGGGTCGGAGCTGGAACGACATGGAACGACCGACGTTGCTTGGGATGACTTGGGACGCATTGGGATGTGGGGCGGATCGAAGTTGGAACGTGTTAGGACGAGCCCGAGATCCGCAATGAGAGCGACGATGAGAGCAGCTCCAACGAGGAAATGCCAAACCTTGAGGTGTGGGTGGCTGTTTGATACATTTTCATACCAAACATGCAAAATCAGACATGACTTGTCACTTGACATGCGAACTTGGGGAATCTTTGGTGGGAATCTTTGGGCCAGGGAGCGGATGCTGCAACCTCTGAGAGGCTTGGAGCTGCAAGTCACGCGAAGTAGCTACATGGAGCTACATCATTCCTGAGCTGCTTTTTGCCATGTGATGTGAAGGTTTGTTTCGCGTGTTTTGGGTTTGGGGGTGTTGGCTTTGCTTCATGGAGTTTGCATGAGTTTGCAGGGTAAAGCAAAACCGAGCTGAGAAGAAGAGCCGCAAGGCTGATGCTGCAGCAGAGAATTTACTTGACTTATTCAAAATTGTGTATTTTGTGTACGGTTTGCACATTTTGCACGGCTTATGAAGAGTGATCAGCAAACTGTGCCCAGTCACTTGTTCCAGAATCCCTTGTTCTGAGCAGCCGTTCTTTCAGAGTCTTACCGTTCCAGTCACAGCAGATGAGACATTCGAGTTGGCGTGTGCAAAGGCAGTGCAGAAGCTCGGTATGAAGCCGGTGCCTGGTATCATGCGAGTCACTGTGAAGAAGAGTCGCTTGGAAGCAAGGCAGAGTATGCATATGAACAAGTCATGAACATGTGGAGGTTTCCTAAAATGGCGGTATCCGGTATCCCCAAATCATCCATTTTAATGGGATTTTCCATTATAAAGCATCATAAAGCATCCAAATATTGGGGTACCCATTGAAACCTCCATGTAGATTTCAGGCATCTCAGAAAAAGCATTTCTTGCTGCAAAGCTGAGGCAGAAATATCCTCTTTGTTACATGAACAGATAGATTTCAGGCATCATGACATTACCGCTGTATTTCCACATTCTCATCAATATTTCCATTGTGTTTTATTAGGAAGAGCCTGTCAATGCCTCTTTTGTCCTTGCTGACACGAGCAATTGGTGCTATGCTACTGGAGTGCACATCAATCCATTGTCCGTTCGTTCGTCCTTCCATCCATTTGAACTCGACATGGCCTCAAGCAGTCTGCTGCTTGTGCTGCTTGTGCTGCTTTGGAGGCAAGAATATCTTGTTTGTCATCTCCAAGCCTGATGTGCACAAGGCAGGACATGACGTGATACGTGACGTAATGGATGCAATTGATAAGTTCGGACCGTAGCTATTACCGTGTGAAAGCTGCTTTAAAAGTTCCAGAAATTGTGTTTGATTTCACCTAATTACATGTGTCTATGTGTCTATTTAGTTTTCTATTCAGCCCCCCGCGACTTGGGACAAAGATTCGCTGCTGCTGTGTGTTGGCGCAAGAGGTACTGATCTTACTGAGACGTTGAAAAATTGAAAAGGACCACAACGGACGACGGATGGCATCGCTTTCAAAGTTCTGTGTAGAGGCACAGAGCTCCGACACCTACATCGTCTTTGGAGAGGCTAAGGCAAGGGGAATTTGATGTGTGTGTATATATATAGATACAGGTAGACTTTCTAGACTCAGCTTAAGACTGAAGAATACTCAAGATAAGACTTCAGTCTGGCTCAAGACTTAAGTGCAACTCTGTTTCATATTTGTTTCCTCCCTTTTGCTGACATGGACGTGGCTGCATTTCTGCACCAACATGGGATGCAACATGCCATGCACATCCATGCGTGATGCAATCACCCGACCACGCAGAGTTCTGGCCGGGTGGTTTGATGTTCTTTGATGTTCGCCCTGAGGTGGAAGATCTGAGCGCTCAGGCCCAGGCGACTGCGGCCCAGCACCTTGCGGGTGTGGAGCGCCAGGACCTCTCCGGCATCTTTTGTCAAATTCAGAGAGCACAGGGACGGACCGTTTTCGAGTGTGTGAACAAGTCTTTGGTAAACATCAGAATACGGTAGACAGTAGCTACACATATTTGCCCTCCTAGGATTTGCATGGATTTGCCTATTTGACATGCCGTGTTGGCGTTGCCCGTAGTACGCTCATATCAGCCGCGGTCTGATGCGCAGGAACCGGAAAAGCCAAAGGTCGAAGAGATCGAGGACCGCCACGTTTTCCCCAGCTGCACCAAGCTGCACCAAGCTGCACTAAGCTGCACCAGGCTGCACCGCACTGCACCGAGTACCCCATGTGTACCCCGGAGTGTACCCCGTGTGTATCCCGGAGTGTACCCAAGTGCACTTCGCATCACAAGATGGCCACCTGACTGAAGGAGGGCGAGGTGGATGAGGAGGGCATCGAACCGAAGGATATCGAGTTGGTGGTATCCCAGGTGAACTGCTCCCGCGCCAAAGCGGTTGAAGCCCTGCGTTCCTGGGTGGCAGTCACACCATTCTTTGTAATGCACTGCATGGCACAAAACACAAAGTATGGGGACAGGCAAGCTGAAATGCTCTTCCCTTGCTCTCTTGGACAGTCGAAAGAGTTTGGGATGTGTGGAAGCCGTTCATCGTAAGGTAACAACAAGAATGACATCGTCGAGGCCTGTCCAATGAAAGGACGCCATGAAAATGCTGATGCTTGCTGCCATGTTCTCACTGTTTTTCTGCACTGGGGCGGGCTATCTTCAAACTCTCCAAGCACTATCTTTGATCTCAGGCAATCATGCAGCTCTCCTCCAGCTAAGAGAATGTGACAGATGCACGGTGAGGAAAGACAAAAAGCTCCAGATTGCTGTGCTTCAGTGCTTCGTGCTAGCGGTTATATAACTCTATCAGACGCTATCAGCCATGTGCATCTCAACTCAAATCCGTGTGTTGATGTGTGTTGTGTGTTCACCGACCCTTTTGGATCCTTTTGGCCTTTTGGCTCTCAGAGTTTTGTGTTGGCCCCGTGTCTTTAAAGTTGCATCAGTGCATCGCTCGAGATGGCCAAGACGCAGGTGGGTCGTTGGGGTCGGAGCTGGAACGACATGGAACGACCGACGTTGCCTTGGGATGACTTGGGACGCATTGGGATGTGGGGCGGATCGAAGTTGGAACGTGTTAGGACGAGCCCGAGATCCGCAATGAGAGCGACGATGAGAGCGGCTCCAACGAGGAAATGCCAAACCTTGAGGTGTGGGTGGCTGTTTGATACATTTTCATACCAAACATGCAAAATCAGACATGACTTGTCACTTGACATGCGAACTTTGGGAATCTTTGGTGGGAATCTTTGGGCCAGGGAGCGGATGCTGCAACCTCTGAGAGGCTTGGAGCTGCAAGTCACGCGAAGTAGCTACATGGAGCTACATCATTCCTGAGCTGCTTTCTGCCATGTGATGTGAAGGTTTGTTTCGCGTGTTTTGGGTTTGGGGGTGTTGGCTTTGCTTCATGGAGTTTGCATGAGTTTGCAGGGTAAAGCAAAACCGAGCTGAGAAGAAGAGCCGCAAGGCTGATGCTGCAACAGAGAATTTACTTGACTTATTCAAAATTGTGTATTTTGTGTACGGTTTGCACATTTTGCACGGCTTATGAAGAGTGATCAGCAAACTGTGCCCAGTCACTTGTTCCAGGATCCCTTGTTCTGAGCAGCCGTTCTTTCAGAGTCTTACCGTTCCAGTTACAGCAGATGAGACATTCGAGTTGGCGTGTGCAAAGGCAGTGCAGAAGCTCGGTATGAAGCCGGTGCCTGGTATCATGCGAGTCACTGTGAAGAAGAGTCGCTTGGAAGCAAGGCAGAGTATGCATGAACAAGTCATGAACATGTGGAGGTTTCCTAAAATGGCGGTATCCCCAAATCATCCATTTTAATGGGATTTTCCATTATAAAGCATCATAAAGCATCCAAATATTGGGGTACCCATTGAAACCTCCATGTAGATTTCAGGCATCTCAGAAAAAGCATTTCTTGCTGCAAAGCCGAGGCAAAAATATCCTCTTTGTTATTTCAAAGCCTGACGTATACAAGGCGAGGTATGATTGTTTGGGCAAAGTGCGGTAGACTTACATTTTCAGCATGACTATCACAGCATAGATGGCATATTTCTGAATAGTGATGTGATGTTAAACAATGTTTAACAGCGTTTCATCTAGGTAGCAACACTTGCAAAACTTAAAGCTCAGTCATTTGTTCAAATTCAACCTGGCCATTCTTGGAATGAAATAGGTGCTGTTACATAATACTTGCGTAAAACTTTCGCCAAAGTCTTCGCTTTGACTCCTTCTAGTTGAAATGGTCGAACAAAATGTCGAGACTCGGAAGCGCAACGGAACCCCACCTATTTCCACCCGGGATCACCGCCACCAGATGGGTTGATTCCCACATTTCCCCTCTATTTCTGTGGCGAAGCTTACACACACAACATGTTTCAAAACAGGTTTTCAACTCACAAAACTTTAAGGTTCCACCAGGGTTTAAACTTTAAAGCAACGCCAAAGCACCTCTTGAAGCACCTTCCTTGAATTCAAGATGTAGACGTGAGAGACATTGATGGAGATCTTAGAGATCTTACTAAATGGCTTTATGATGTCAGTCAGTGGAGGTGTATATAAAGGAGAACGCAACACGACTCACGACAAACACATTACAGATGTTGAAGCAACATAAGCCAATAGCCACAAACACTTGTTGGCACAAATGCGCGAGTGTTCAAGAGCTCACGCGTTTCACACACCGTCGCATATGTGTCAAACCCATGCACGCCGTTGTATTAACAGACACCAAATGACATGGATTTGATGAGCATATGTCACATGGTTTTCACCTACATGTTTTTCCACTATATCATACTATATCTATATTCTATATCTATAAACTAAGCCTGGGATCAATACTGTATCTGGCTGTGACATGTTGAAACCATTGCTCAATGTGTCATGACACATGCAGCGCATCTATATACTGTGCCTATTCTTATATTCAGCCCCGCGACTTGGGACAAAGATTCGCTGCTGCTGTGTGTTGGCGCAAGAGGTACTGATCTTACTGAGACGTTTAAAAATTGAAAAGGACGACAACGGACGACGGATGGCATCGCTTTCAAAGTTCTGTGCAGAGGCACAGAGCTCCGACACCTACATCGTCTTTGGAGAGGCTAAGGCAAGGGGAATTTGTTGTATATACTTTCTAGACTCAGCTTAAGACTGAAGAATACTCAAGATAAGACTTCAGTCTGGCTGAAGACTTGAGTGGCTGGTCATGGTTTGACAGCAACTCTGTTTCATATGTTTCCTCCCTTTTGCTGACATGGACGTGGCTGCATTTCTGCACCAACATAGGATGCAACATGCCATGCACATCCATTGCGCATCCATGCGTGATGCAATCACCCGACCAGAGTTCTGGCCGGGTGTTTGATGTTCTTTGATGTTCGCCCTGAGGTGGAAGATCTGAGCGCCCAGGCCCAGGCGACTGCGGCCCAGCACCTTGCGGGTGTGGAGCGCCAGGACCTCTCGAGCATCTTTTGTCAAATTCAGCGATTTGCAGTGAGGGACCAGGGAGCACACGGAGGGACCGTTTTCGAGTGTGTGAACAAGTTTTCGAGTGTAAATAGGCAAATCCTAGGAGGGCAAATATGTGTAGCTACTGTCTACCGTATTCTGATATTTACCAAAGACTTGTTCACAGACATGCCGTGTTGCCCGTAGTGCGCTCATATCAGCCGCGGTCTGATGCGCAGGAACCGGAAAAGCCAAAGGTCGAAGAGATCGAGGACCGCCACATTTTCCCCAGCTGCACCAAGCTGCACCAAGCTGCACTAAGCTGCACCAGGCTGCACCACACTGCACCGAGTACCCCATGTGTACCCCGGAGTGTACCCCGGAGTGTACCCCGGAGTGTACCCCGTGTGTACCCAAGTGCGCTTCGCATCACAAGATGGCCACCTGACTGAAGGAGGGCGAGGTGGATGAGGAGGGCATCGAACCGAAGGATATCGAGTTGGTGGTATCCCAGGTGAACTGCTCCCGCGCCAAAGCGGTTGAAGCCCTGCGTTCCTGGGTGGCAGTCACAGCATTCTTTGTAACGCACTGCATGGCACAAAACACAAAGTATGGGGAAAGGCAAGCTGAAATGCTCTTCCCTTGCTCCCTTGGACAGTCGAAAGAGTTTGGGATGTGTGGAAGCCGTTCATCGTAAGGTAACAACAAGAATGACATCGTCGAGGCCTGTCCAATGAAAGGACGCCATGAAAATGCTGATGCTTGCTGCCATGTTCTCACTGTTTTTCTGCACTGGGGCGGGCTATCTTCAAACTCTCCAAGCACTATCTTTGATCTCAGGCAATCATGCAGCTCTCCTCCAGCTAGCCGCGAAAACCAGCCAGCGAGAGAAAAAAAATCCAGAGCTTTTATCCACAGCACAGCTTCTTTTGGAGTCCAAATAGAAAAACCAGCATCAACAGCATCAACTGGTTTGTCTTCACGCTGGATACATCTGGATACTGGATAAATCCTGACCAGGCCTCTCCTGGTTGGCTGGAACCTTTGCTGGCCCGGATCAAGCAAGACCGCAGGTTCGCAGTCTGACATGTTTCCGGAAAATGTGCTGTGACAGTGGAATTTTCACAGACATGAACAGACCCTTTTGAGTCGACTGACTTCGTATGACAATGGCATGTGAATGATCTGTGTGCTTCAATTTTTTGATGCATTGCAATCCAAATTGAGCGATTCTCAAAGGTTTAAGAGGTATCTGTGTTTGAAGCACAGGGACAGAGCCAAAAAAAGACTGCGCCATTTTCAGGCACGTTGTGGTGCCCAACATTTTGGGTGCTGTCCCTAGCGTCCTGTCAAGCCGAAGTTGGCCATGCGAAAGGCCAAATGGAGGTCTAATGAGTACCTTTGGGATCCTGTGGGTCGTAGAATAATGACCCAAAATGACCAAAAATGACGAGCCGAACAGTAAAAACAATGGTAGAGACTCTCTCCAGCAATCCAGCAAACTATAGTAGGGACTATCAAAATTATCAAATTCAAACATTTCAAACTCAATTTTTCAGTGAATTTTTCACATGAATTGAGCACAAAATGCTGGAGCCTCTGGATAAAAAGCCAGGCATTGACTTCGACAACCTGGCCTTTGAGGGGAGCTCAGGTCTTGGTGTGTCAGGGGGCCCTGGAAAAAGCGTCCTGTTCAGTCGTATCCACGGAACCTTCACGTAACCAAGAAATATGAAGGATCCAAATCTGTCCATTTATATTCATTTAATTTCATTTGTATTCATTTGTATCATTTGTTAACATCCGCGTATTTATTGTATTTTCATTCATTCATTCATTCATTTATTTATTTATTTATTTATTCATTTATTTATTTATTATTTATGTATTTATTTATTCAATTAATTAGTTAATTAATCTATTTATTTATTCATTCATATTTTTAATCTTCTTATCTAATAATTCTATTGATTTTCTTCGATTTCATGGCGCCGCAGTGTAGATGAGGTTGAGCTTTACCTGGACGCTTGGGCAGCCTTGCTGCACGAATTCAGCTGATTCTTGCAACCTCAGCCGATTTGCTGGTCATGTGCCAACGTGACAGGCAAAGGCCAATGCCAACGAAAACAGGAAGTGAAATTCAAAAATCTTCCATCATGGCAGGAGGCTCCTGATTCTGCTTGCGGATTTAAACAAGCTCATGATGACTCATGATCATTTGTGCAAAGTAGCGGCCTTGGCTGGGTGTCTCGACCCTGCGTGAGGTCTGTTTGCGGCTGACAAGGCATTCTTCATGCATTTGGGAGGTGGCTGTTGCTCTTTATGTTTGCAAATGTGAAACTGGAATGTGAAGCATCAGCGCTGCAGGCTACGATCCAGACATGAAGTTCTATGGCGGGGAGGACGATGCTTATGATACTTATGATGTCGAGCTGTGGGAATCATTGGACAGGTCTTGGTAGGCTAGACGCCAGGCTATGTTAAGTTGGCAGTGTGTCAAAACCAATAGTACCCCTGTAGTTCACATCAAAATAGCTGGGATTTATGGATGTTCATCCCATTAAAAATGGTATTGATAGGTATTGATTCATAGCCAAGTTGACCCTTTTTGTTGGTGTCGTCCAGGAGATGGAGATTGGTTTTCGTACCTGGCAGTTGGGACTCTGAGCAGATTTTACTGCAGGGTGACAGTTGCTGACCTGGGATTTTTGTGTCACCAGAGGCGTCACTTACCCTCTGGCAAACTAACAATAACTAACATAACTATGGAACATCACCATGCTATTAATGGGAAAATCAACTATAAATATACTATAAATGGGTCAAGTTCAATAGCAGCTATGTTAGTTTACCAGAGGGTTTTCGAAAGCAGCAGTTCTCTCATGATTTTTTCCTGGATTCCGCAGGACTTCTTCCGCGGCCGCTTTGTCTCAAGCGAGAACCCCCATTTTCGCCCGGCACAAAGATGGGGGCATAGTGCGACCAGGAGTTCGCAACGATGGGGCAAGGGCTCTCGGAACCGCGCTCAGTGCAGATGCTGTTGCTGCCGAAAATTGTTGGCAATGGGACAATGAAACGACCACTTTTTCATCATTTCTTGATGTTTCATGATGTTTCGAATTCTGCGTAAGAAATCGATGAAAAAAGCAGTTTTCTCCGAGACTGTTTATCCGTGCCTGTCCTTGGGCGTGGTTTGAGCTTGATAGTTTTGCATTTTTGGATTGTGAATTGATAGTCCGAGGATGCTTTATGGGGTGATCCTCCGCAATTATGCAACTGATCTGCATTCCAGCCGTGGCATGTGAGCATTCCAGCCGTGGCATGCCGTGGCCGTGGCCGTGGTGGGATCTCTAAGGTGGCGTACAGACAAGTGTCAGCGATGTGTTAAGCTCCATGTGGGGGCACCGGCCTCGGAGTTCGCCGTTTCTCCAGGCGTTTCTCCAGGCGTTTCTCCTTGAAATACCATCTGGTTACAGTATGACTAACATAGCCATGGAAAATCCCCATTTTTAATAGGTAAACCATCTATTTCTATGGGCCATCTATACCATGGCTATGGTAGTCATAACCGGAGGGTTTCTTGAAATATCTTGAAATCAATGTTAGGCACCTGGTTGGAAAGCGCGAGGTGTGCATCATCATGGTGGGGCTGGACAGTGCTTGTTGGCTTGTTGGCTTGATGCGATTGTGCTTAGCCGATGTTAGATGATTTAGATGTCGTTTCGATTGCTGTGACCGGATCTTGGATGATTTTGGCAGGACTCAGCTGGCAAAACAACAACCCTGTCAAAGTCTCAGATCTCTTAGATCTCTCATATCTGGCCAGCAGGCCAGTGTGATACTCATAGAATTGGATGATGGGAAAATTTTAACCGGAAACCCCTTTTTTTGATGGTAAAAACCCATGGGTTTCCGGTTAAGATTTTCCCAACTTTTTACCAATCCATTGAGATACCTTGGATACCAAACGAATGCAGACCGCCAAGGTACCGGCTGAAACTGGGAGTGCAGGTGAGAACGCTGCCGACTGTGGGTTTCAATGTGGAGAAGCTGGAGAAGTCCTCAGTGATGTGAATGTAGTGATTGATGATGAGGCTTCACATAATTGTACAAAACTACATGGGAATGGATCAATACCTATGAAAATACCATTTTTAATGGGATGAACATCCATAAATCCCAGCTATTTTGGGGTGAACTACAGGGGTACAGGGTTTTGACCCATCCCCATATATACCTAGCGCATCAAGAACCCACAAATTTGTAGGTCTTTTTCCAAAAAACGTTTTTTTCTTCAGTTATGAAAAAAAACTCGGTTTTCCTCCAAAAATACGGGCTTTTTTCTTTACCAGGGAAAAACCTACTTTTTCTCACACTTGGTGTCATGACATCTCATGATCCGTTCCCTTGGAGGATTCAATGCCCTTTGTTGATAATAGCCTTGGATCTATCCCTCACAGTACCCTTCATGTTGATTATACTTCCACCCCGCTGGCTGAACTGCTGGCAGTTCTCACAAGAAAGGACCCGGTGCTCTTGGAACATGTCGGACAACATTAGTTGTGATCACAGTCAATCTGGAGTCGTTGGAGGACTTTTTCCCACAAGAACCGCCCCTACAAGCATAAATTTGAAACATGTTTGTAATTTGTTTCATTGGGAAAAAATGATCATGGATGACCAAAATGCAACAAAGTCGAACAAAAGTGTCGGAAAAATGAACAAAATCATCAAAAATCAATCGAAAAGGCATTTTTAGAGCCATTTTGGATGACACTTTTAGGGCCCGTGCCCAAAATATGCCGTATTAAGCCGTACTAAACCCATATTTATCCCGTACTAAACCCATATTCTGCTATAATAGAAAAAACCCGGTTTTTGGGAACCCATATTTAAACCGTCTTAAACCCATTTTGTATCCATACCAACCTGTATTCAAAAAATATGTTTTTTTTGCTTCTGGGAATGGACGGCTGCGGCGTCGAGTTTTGAGGCTCCGCTTGTCGTTTTGCAAGATGGAACCGGCAATTGCCCGATCCAGACAAAAAGAAAACAACGCAGATGGTCAGAACTATTGTCAATTTGCTGGGTTCACATCTGAAAAGCTGACTTTTGAAATGCCATGTATATTATATATATTATTAGAGACTTTTTGACTACCCCCAGTCCCGCTGAAGGGAAAGTTCGCAGCATAGGAGGTAACTGCAGCCGGTGGAGAATGTGCGCATCGTGTGTGATAACGTTTGTTTCGGTTTCGATGGTGTGTTCCGTCTGACAGATTTCGGAACTTGTCAGTATGAAGTTGCTACATGCGGCGAAGCAGAAATTTGACACAGATCCTCCTGATTTGGACAAGTTTGTGCAAACCCAACCAAAACCAAAATATGGGTTCTTTACAAAAACCCGGTTTTTCTTGATTTTTTTTTTTGGATTGAGTCTACAATTTTTTGGGTCTTTGAAGCTCTTGGTACGTATATATATATAAACCACATATAAAACGTCATGAAACATATTAAAGCAGATGCAGAATCTAAGTACCTTAACGTAACTTAAGTATCTTGGCCAACTAGTCCTGAAGTGAAGCGCCATGTGAAACCGAGGAGTACAAAAATATTGTCTTCACAGTCTGGGACCTTGGTGGTCAAACCAGAACGCGTCAGATCTGGCAGCACTATTATCAGCAGCTTGGCGACAGATCGGGTGCCTCGTTTTTGGATGTGTCATGCTTTGTAGATTCTGCGCCGATTCTATGCAGATTCCAAAGGCAGACTTCATGCAGACTTCCAAACTTCTGATCTCAAGGAACACAGATGGGCTCATCTTCGCCTGCCCCTCAGACCTGACCGCGCTCAAACCGTACAAGCTGCGGCTGCTGCAGCGAAGATAGCGCCTGAGGTCATCGACAGCAGTGATCGAGAGCGCATAGACGAGGCGCAGGAGGAGCTCATGAAAATGCTTCAGAAGGACGAGATGAAGGACCCGAAGACCCGTGAAAACACAACGGACCATTGGACATCAGTGGGCCCGAAAACGGTGAAACAAACGTGGATTTGTCGGAAATTCATTGGATTTGTGGATTTGGATCTACATTCTGAGAAACTGCCAGAAACTGCTGGTTGAAGGATGCGGTGCTGCTGGTCATGGCAAACAAGCAGGATCTCCCCAATGCCATGAGCACCCAGGAGCTACGCAACAGCTGCGCGGCTGCACGGGAGCGCGGGAGCTGGGGCTGGGTGTCAGGAGCTGGTGCAAAAGCTGGGCCTCAACAGCCTGGGGAAATATCGGAGGAAATGGCTCGTGCAGGACGCACCGTTCCGCACCGTTCCGCACCGTTCCGCACCGTTCCGCACCGTTCCGCAAGGCGCATCATGAATTATGACATGACAAGATATCACAAGGTATCACAATACATGAGAGAGGACAAGATACTTTACTATATCAATCTGTATCATATACTGTCATACACTATATCAGATGCTATATTTTGAATGTTTTATCAGATACTATCATGATTATCATTGAAATTATCATGTTCATTTGGAGGATTCCCATGATTTGAGAAAACACTTCGCAAAACGCGCATCACTTTGGACTGCAGCCGGTGAAAAACCATGGCTGCCATAAGATTCGCAGCCAGGAGACTTGTGCAACTGTGGGCGATGGGCTCGGTGAGGCAGAGATGCTGGCCACATTCGGTGCATTCGAACATTGGATGAAAACATATGGCTATGGATCAATAGCTATTAATGGTGGTTAATAGTGGTTAATAATGGTTAATAATGGTGGTTAATGGCTATGAATCAATACCTATGAATACCATTTTTAGAGGGATGAACATCTATTTACCAGCTATTTTGATGTGAACTACAGGGGTACAAGGTTTTGACACACTGCCATATTGGAAAATTATTTTGAAGAAACATGGAAACATATTTTAAGTTAAACATATTGAAAAATATTGGACAAATTAATTGAACACATATTGAACAATATTGGAAAATATTGGAAACATATTAGTTAAACATATTGAAAACATGTTGGAAGAAAAAAGAGCAATGGTTCGTCGTTGCGCCACGGCAACGTGTCTCAGGGCTTGGACTGGCTCGCCCAAGCCATTGCTGACAAGGGCTGATGCGCGCGCGATCCGACTTGAGAAGTGTCACCCACCTGTCTCAATCTGTCTCACCAAAGAGTCGGCCCGGCCGGTGCCGAAGATGCCGAAGGGATACTATCCAAGACCAAACTTGGTTTGGCCGGTTTGGCAGTTTGGCTGTGTATGCAAATCCCGAGGCAAAATAGGCAAATGATTCCACTGCTAACATGCTAACACCTCAGTTTCTGTACCAAGGAGAAAGCCATGGAAATCATTGGAACTGCACCACATTGGAACGGCGATCCGGATCCGATGAAAGCGGCAAGCGGCGTCCAGTTGGACTGGACTCTGGCGTGGAAAAAAGTGGATGCGAAGGTGTCCTGGTGATTCCTGGTGATTCCTGGTGATTCCTGGTGTCCTTTTATGGCAAATTTGCCGAAGTTTGCCGAAGTATGCAGAAAATAGGTTCACGGAAGTGCCGTGCATTTCATATCCCAGAACACCACTGAGCTTTTTTCTGTAGCTGCCTTCTTCGTGGCATCCCTGGTGTGATAGTTGAGGTGTGGTGGAGATATTGAGCCTAATTCTTAGACTTGTGCTTCGAGTAACAAGTCTCGACCCTGGTTTTTTGCACTCCTCTCAGATACGTTCCATGCTCGCGAGTGTACCATATCTTCAGATCTGCACGCTATTGGCAAGGTGCAGCGGCGCAACCATCATGTCCCTTTTGCCAAATGTGATTTCGTTGACCAGAAACGAACCGAACGTTTGGTTTCGTAGGCACAGACTCAGCGGGCGTGGCATACAAGGCACAATCAGCTGCACCACGAGATTGTTGGTATCGGATCTGTGGCAGTTCAGTAGGTGCCCGGTTTTGAGATCATCCGAAACAAGCTGAGAGCAGCTGCGGTCTTGAGCTGAAAGATGGGCCTTTGGGTCTTTTGCCAATCTTTTGCCAATCTTTTGCTGGGTCCATGGAGTGATATCATGTGCATTTCATGTGCTGTCTATATCTGTCTATCGAATCTATTGTAGTTCTACATTCCACTGCTCGGATGGGAACATCTGAGCACGGGGCAGTTTTTTTTCGCTAGGAACAGATACGGCGCCGGAAGGTCGATTTTTAGTCTGTGTTGATCTGAAAACTTGACGACACAGAGTTTTTAGGTCCAGTAAAGATCTGATGAAAAGTGGTGGATATCCTGAGGCCCTGTGATATCCTGTGATCGTCTCGATCCATCTTAGCAAGGAGCAGTTCCGATTACACGTAAGTAACTCCTTCGTGAGACCAAGCATTACCATCTGCTGAGGGGACATAGAAAGGCAAATTGACCCAATCTGCCAAACCAGTAGCTTGACACCGTGAACACTTTCACTGATCCCCCAGGTTTTCTGGAACATGAAACGCAATCTATCTTCCATTGTAGTTCTACATCTTTGGATCTCTTTATAATGTCTTTATAACTTTGCTGTCCCAGTTTATCAGGTTCCAAAATCAAGCTACCCAACAGTTGCCAGCCAAGCTGGTCATCAATGAGAAGCCGGGGGCAGCCCCAGAACAGGTTTCAGCTTCCATGCTGTAGGTTCTTACGGTTTCCCAAGGAGAAGGGGGCAGTAAGTCAGTAGCTACAGTAGGTTCAAGAGCTGAATTCTGCCACCTGAGGCGCCACAAATTCCCTGTGCCTGCCAGAAAACATGGAACTAGGGGTTCACCAAACATTTGTGCCCGCCATGAAAAATGGATCTGTAAGTTAACCAAACACTGCGCCTGCCACGAAAAAAAAAGGCAGTAGAGGGTCACCAAAAATTGTGCTTGCCACGCCAAACAGCAAATACGCTGCAAAAGGGATTACGCAAAATAACATGCACATCATGTTGCCTGAAACTTGCACAAGTGGTTTTCACAAGATAGCTTCCATGCCCTTCACATCGTTTTCGGCACCAGTATTTTAGCGGGCTCGTTTCTGGGCCAAAAATAGAGGTTTTGATGCTTCAAGGTGGTATTGCCCAGCTTTCGTCTCTTTCCCTTTGGCTTCAAGTTTTGCACCGCCATTTTTTGCTGGCAGATGGGCTTGGAATATCTTGGAATCACGAAAATCATGGTGTTTGATGTGGAGAACCATTCACAGACAAGGTACAGCAGTCACTATTTTTGAATCTGTCAACGAAGCATTCCACAGCTGCAAACCGTTTGTGCATCACGGTGCATATGCACATTTTGTGGTTTTTCTTAGGTATTCAGTTTCATTTGTTTCCATTTTAGGTACACCATGATTTGAATGCAACGGGTGAACAGTTTGAATTGATTTCTTCCTGAGTTGTATGTTTTTAAAGAAACTGCCAACCTCAGAGTTAAAGAGGTTCACATGGAGTGGACACTGACTCAAGTGTTCAGACGCCTTTTCCAAGTGAAATGCCGTGCAGCTAGGTTTGTCAGTTGTCATCTGTGAGGAATGCTGATTAGACCTTGTAGACTTATAGATGTGGATTCAATGATTGATCTTGGCCTTGGCTGCATAGAATGTTTGGAAAGGATTATATATATACATCAGGATGCAGTATGCAGTGTCTACGAAATTCATGTTGCCCAGTAAGTGCCTGTTCTTGTGAAACCTGGTGAAAAAACCCGCCACGCCTTTGAGGTCTGGATGGATGAATATGTCAAGCTTGCCTGCTTGACAACATTTGACAACTTTCTCGCGAAACAAACATCCACAAGGTGGTGCCCCATAGTTAGCTAAGTTGGTTTATAACTCTCATAACTATGGTTTATGGCAGATATAACTATAGTTAATGGGGCGAATCAAAACCAACTTATAACTGGGGGGCACCATCCTGCAGGTTTCACGTATTTTTCTCGCCAGGAAGTCTTGGTGCAGCATGCGTCCGCTCCTCTTCCGCATGGTGTAACACTTGGGGTGCTCAACTCAGCCACATATTTTTGTCGAAGCAAGTGGTGTCCCGGTGATCTTCCGAGAAATTGCGACTCTTTGTAGTCCTGATTTTTTTCCCCCAAAAAGATGTACAATATATATATATACAATATAATACAATATAATACAATATAATACAATATAATACAATATAATACAATATATATACAATTATCATCAATTATCATCAATTATCCACGTGTATATAATTAGCATTTTTCTATGTTACATCCTGAGGACTTGGAAGCTCGGAAATCTCTGCGACAGCGGCTCAAGCAGCTCAGCCCGACTTACTGGGGAGTCCCCTTTTAAACGCTGGGAATGGGAAGTCTTGAAATCCAGGTCCTGTACATCAATGGATTGGTTTAAGGGAAAATCTTAACCGGAAACCCATGGGTTTTTACCATCAAAGATATAGATGGGTTTCCGGTTAAAATTTTCCCATCATCCAATTCTATGAGTACAGCCGTTTTAAGGGAGGATTTGAAACTCTGGATGTCTTTGGGTTCGGATTTTTTCAATCATGGCACAGGATCAGAGATGGAAAACGTAGCTGAGATGGCAAGCAGAAGCCTAGACATGTTGCAACTGTTTTCAAGTGTTGCACAGTGTTGCAGCTTCGGGCCCAAGAAGTTATATGGCTTGCAAATCTACGCAAATCTGCTCATGGTGCTACAAGCCACCCAGTTGCCACGGCCAAAGTTGCCCGTGTTGCCCGTGTTGCCCGTCGCTCGGGCGCTCAGGACGGTGATCGTCGCGCTGGCTGCGACGCTTGTGACGAGCCCGTCCTTCATCTGCGGCTTCACGGTGTCCACGGCGTCCCTCAGCACCCACGGCACCCAGGGTCGCCGTGGTCGCCGTTCCAGTGGCCTCCAGCTCCAACGAGCAGCTGAAAATCTTGGGCCAAGAGATGAGTGGGGGATAGCCTGTATGCAGGACGGTGATTCACGGTGCATGCAACATGATTAGATGATTTTCAGATCGAATATGACTTGTGTCACACTTGGTGCTTGAGTCAAAGCGTGTTTACATGCATCGCTGCATCACCGAAAACATATCACAACAGGCATATCTAGAAGCAGGTTACAAGTTCGGGATGTAATCTCTAGATTTACTGCTGACAAATCCTGAGGACACAGCTATAACGCGTGCCGCACGGGCTGCCAACATCAGGCTTTTCAAATTTGGCAAGGTGTACATTGATGCGATGGGTCAGGAACCTGTGCGGCAGGCTTTTCGCACCCTGAAAAAAATGAACAGCTATGTGGCAAAGCTCGTGACTCCATTTCATGGAGCTATAGGTTTCTATCCCGAGCAACTCGTGAATGAAACAAGTAAAGGTGAAATGACCATCATGCGAATTCATGCAAGGCCTCTAAATGCGACAGCAGTTGTCCCAGTGGATGCGGAGGGCATCCTCTTTGCCCCTGCTAGTGACGAAAGGATTACGTCCTTATCAACCGCATTGAAAGCCAGGGTTGCAGAGGAGAATTTCGCGCGAATGGCAGGGCTGGGGCCTCCTTCCATAAATCGCATGATGAAGGCATTGGTTCGTGCGAACGTCTTCCTTGCGAGAGAAAGTGAAGAGAGTGGTTCTGAGAGAACGTACATGTGGGCAATACCTGCCGAAATGCAACTGGAGAACAAGAAAGCTGACAGGGATGATCTGACTAGCCTATGTTTTGATGTAGTGAAGGGTCCTATATTGTAAGCAACGGAACCGCGGACCAAAAGTGCACCTGCAGCCCGGACATGTTTTTGAGTCGACTTGCCTGGAAAACTGCTTGTGATCGCTTGTGATTGTGTTTTTTCTCCTTGCGCAGTAAGGTGCAAATCATTCAAGTGGTATTTGGAGAACGTGGCGAAAGAAGTCTTTGCTGCTCGCGAAACAATACTGTGATATACTGTGTAGATTGCTGTTTTGGGTGCAGATGTCAGATACCCTCTGGTAATTTAACATAGCTATTGAAAATGACCATAGAAATAGTAGATTTACCCATTGAAAATGGTGATTTTCCATAGTTATGGGGCAGTTTACCAGAGGGTATGTCAGATGTCCACCAGGTCATTTTGTTCCGCCTCCCATTTTGTTCGTTTTGGGGCGAGGTTCCATCGATTAACGGTCTGCGTGCTGGGGCTCTAAGGCGGCAACTTCCGGAAAATCAGAAAACGCCCCGGCTCCGCTAGCGATTCAAATGATTGGAACTGCCCAAGCTTAGCTCTACTTCCATCTTAATCATTGATAACTATGGTTTATGGATGTTTATGGTACTTATAACTATAGTTGCTGGGGCGAATCTAAACCAACAAACATAACTGGGGGGCCTCACATTGATATCATTGATTATCATTGCCCATGACGGATCCATGTAATTATGGCATATATGGTGCTCCATGGATCCCATCAACAAAAACCCCAGTCATGTTAGCATTAATATACCAGCACCATGGATCCGTCATGGGTTGTGAATCAGTGAAGAGTCGATAGAGACCACCTGGCAGGAACGTGAAGTTGGACGCCTGCATCGACACGTTGGGCGGCAACAGGCTGTCGACAGTTTGGGCACCACGGAACTAACGTCTCCAAAGGTTTCCAAAGGTTTCAAGTCTCACGTGATTCCACCTGATGCCTCTCCACTTGGTACTACCCGGTCAGGCCCGGTGCTTACCCATGCCACGGGCAGCACGGGACGCAAGCCATTGTCATTGATGGCCAAGGCGACCAGATGCGACAAGCTCTGAACACCATGACGAACATCTCAGAACTCACAGACTCTTCACAGACTCTTCACAGACTCTTCACAGACTCATCACAGACTCTATGCTCACCAATTCGTTTCAAAAGAAGTGTTTGTCATGCTTGTTTCCATTTGGACCTCGAGGCGGCAGTAAGCCCAAAATTCCACAATGAATTGTATCTCTCCATATATTTGTACCAGCTTGTGCCAAATTTTGCCCAGGCATGTTGCGGATACCGCTTCTCATGTACGAGAGCCTCAGCAAAACTAGGAGCAGATGAAAAAAAAACCGTGGCGATAATGGAATATCATGGGGTTTGATTTACCCTAGGGTCAACATGCTACCAATGCTGGCTTTCCCTTGGGATAGTGGCGATGTTTTGAGTCCAAGATTCACCGCCAAAAATGCGCCAAGGAAATGCTTGACGGCTGGTTCTGTGGAGCAGCCAGTGGCGTATCCCGTCCGCAGATTCCTTGGATCTTGGTGTCGTCCCACAGCATCCTGCTGTTTGAAACAGGCTTACACCATGCGATGCTAGCAAGGCAAGGGCTGAATAGGTGCTGAACGGGTGCTGCTAGTGCTGCAATCGGCCAAGCATAGATTTCTGTGTAGATGTGAGGGCAACCAGCGCTGGAGTCACAGAGAAGGGCGACTTCAACTGGAAGGACTCTGGGTACTCTGTGGATCTCTGTGGTACTTTGGATTTTCCTAGAAAAGTAAGAAGAAAAGTGACAATCACATTGAACATCAGAGAACACATTGAGAACACCATTCAACGATATTCAACGAAATTCAACGATATTCAACGATATTCAACGATATTCAACAAATTGAAGAGAGCAAATGTGAATGACGGCATGCAGCATGCTCGAATCTGTCGAATGAAGATATTATGCAGGCACAGCGATATGTTTGGGCTCGCCGAGCGAAACGTCTCACAAGTACAGCCGCCTTGGAGTTCGGGGGTTTCCTATGGTTTCCCATGGTTTCCTTGCTGCCCAGGATACTTTGAAACTATGAAAATCACATAAAATCACATAAATCACTGATTGGTGGTTTGGAACATGGCTCTTATGACTTTCCATAGATTGGGAATGTCATCATCCCAACTGACGAACTCCATCATTTTTCAGAGGGGTAGGTCAATCACCAACCAGATCAGATCCGCCAGGCTACCGTTTGCTTTGAAGATGTCGACCCCAGCTGAGATCTACCACGAGACTTCGAGAGATTTCGAGAGCGCGATGCAACAGATTGTGAAACCAGGTGACATCATTGACCGAGGCAGTGCAGCGATGGGCAAGATCAACAATGGCAATGGTATTGATCATTGATCCGAAAAATGAAAAATAAGGAAAAGACAATGGACGGTTGAATTTAAGATAATTACATTAAGATACATTAAGTAGAGAATCATATAGAGTCGAAGGCGCTATTTGCCATTTACATCAAATTAAGAATTACCAACGTTCCAGAAGCTTTAAAGAACATCGACGCCCTTGCGAGAAAGGCCAATATACACTTGGTGCAATACAAGGTGCAAAGCCGTCATCATGTGGCAAAAAGTCTTTCGACGTTTATATCAAACTTTTTCAGGCTTGCAAGAAACTGAGACAGCTTATGGTGTTTTTGCGCAAGTGTTCCGGAAAACCTCTCAAAAGACTTACCCCAGGGGTCAGGGGCCGATGGGGCCAAGTCTGACTTATGGAGACTGTGGAGGCCTGGGACAATCAGGACCACAGCAGCTTCTTCCAGGACATGGCAAGTCGACCATGGCGACCTTCTTTCGGGGCATCAGGTGGGAAGGCTGTCTTCAATCATGCAAGTGTTGAAAGCAAATAAAACCGTGCTGTACTGTACAATGATGACAATGATTGATATATCCAAATTTATCCAAGATTCCACATTTCTGATTCCTTAAGCGTTTGAATTCATGCGAATACCCTGAAGACCATCAAACCATTTGTCCCTGCCATTCTTGCAGGTTTTTGGAGCCACCCAGAAAACCTGATTGGATTTGAAGCCATTAGGCAGGGCTCTTTTTTTGGGCGGCTGAACGGTACTTAACCGACTTCACTTGCCAGATAAACCTTGATAAACCTTGATAAACCTTGATAAACCTTGATAAACCATGTCATCTGCCCCCCTTCAGAGGCGTGAGATTTGGGGGCCTTGGCTGCCTTGGCCCTAGTGATTCCCAAGGGTGGACCTCATGGGTTGGTGTAAGCTCCGGCCCTACCACATGTTGTCCAATGTGGATATACAAATATATACAATCAGTGCACTTTATTTTTGCTTTTTGTGTGCCCATTTTTTTTGGTCCTTGCTGTCACGTGTTCGTACTTGTTGTAACTTGTTGTATTATTGTTGCTCTTGCTGGCTGCATAGCGCACGCGGCATATAATGTTGTGCATGGTTCGGAGTTCGGAGTGGGTTTCTCTTCCCCTGCAGATGAACCTAGAGAGTGGGACGTTCTTCCGATCTTTCCGTAGAACCCTTCATTTTGGGCTATGCTATCCAGACTCCCTGACTCGCTGCTGTTGTTTCTCTTGTTCTATGTTGTTGTTTTGCGAGAGAGCGATGAACCTTGAGAGTTTCCAGCTGCAAAGAAACATGGCCTGAACATGCCCGAACCAAACTGCATCCATCTATCCCAATTGTCCTCAATACTGTATTCGACACAGATTCCAATTGGCCCTGCGCCTGCCCATGGACTGTCCAGCGGGTGTTGTGACGGACAATTACGATATTGTGGAGGATGATGAGTTGTGGGCTCGGATTGGAATCGATTGGTCAGAAAGATCGGAAAGATCGGAAAGAAGCGGCGATGGCCTTGACAATGAGTTGTGGGCTCGGATTGGAATCGATTGGTCAGAAAGATCGGAAAGATCGGAAAGATCGGAAAGAAGCGGCGATGGCCTTGACAAAGTTGACAAACTTGACAAACTTGACAGTGAGACCGTTGCGAGCCCCACCCAGCGGAGCACGTCTTTGCCACCGGAGCTGCTGCGCGCCACACCGCTGTATGAGGCCTTGAGTGGCTGGTGCAGACATTGGCAGGGAAGCGACAGTGAAGTAGAACTGTTTCACTTCAGCCGACCTGTTAACTCCATAGATGTATTCTTGAACCTCGGTGTATTTGGCGTGATGTGGAAGGCCCAGTGGAAGGCCTATGAAGGGCAGTGCGGGCATCTCCCTGTAGATTTAAAAAGATTCTTCATTCCTGAGCAGGCTGGCCCTGTAGCTGAGAAATCAGTCTGTAAGAAGACTTTACTGCCCTATCATTTTTTGACATCCATTTCTCATTTCTCTTGATGTCTCCAGAGATCGTCAGATGTGGTGGTGGTCTTCTAGTGTTTTTGCATTGGTAGAAATTCTCACACTGTTTTGCAGAAGTCAAAGGCCGTTGATACCTCTTCATTTTGCATGGTTCGGTCTGGTCAAAAGTGCAGAGGAAAACGCAGGACAACCACGGATGGTTTAGATGGACCCAGGTAAGTATATTGGACGTCAGATTAATCTTACATGCGTGTGCTGCTGGTATCGTCATCATCTCACCACATCCAAATCTATGTTTGGAAATCTCAACCTAGATCAAAAAAACGCTATTCATTGATCGGAGGGGATACTCAAAAAGCGATAGGTTGATCTTTTTCATAGTGTCTCCCCATATCATAATAGTATATAATAGTCAGAGTTTAGTCCGTTAGCAGTTGCCTAGGAGCCATGATTGGCAAACATCACGATGGATGAAGCTGGTGACTCTGTTTGTGGTCTTTAACTCCCAAGCAGCAGCTTTGACCTCATTGCTGTTAAGCGCGGCACTGGGCTTTGCGGAGGTGTACGTGGGAGCCCACGTTTTGCCTCTGAACTTGTGGGTCTTCTGTGGACTCTCAGAATGCTTTTGGAAGTTTTTCCCTTTAATTTTTCTGTTGTATGTTGTATATTTGGCCTTAGGCTAAAGGCGGAAATCCTGAGGGGTCTGGCTTTTTACTGTTTAGATCCACAGGATACATGGTCTTTCTGGTCCAACTGTGCTTTTGGCAGCGGATCCGGAGTTGCTTTGTTGCACCCTGGATGGTTTTTCTCGACAAAATGTGCATCCATCAGACGAACATGCCCTTGAAGCAGCAGGGAATCGACGGTCTGGGAACCTTTGTGAAGCATTCTGAAAAACTACTGGTCCTGTGGTCTCGTCGATACTTCACTCGCTTGTCCCTTGGCGGAACAGCTTCACTTGTGTACAGTGTAAAGTTACTCTGA